GGCTGAGCGCGCGCCCTGCTCCCGAGCGAGCGGGCGCCGCTACTTTCCTTATTCCCCCTCCCCAGGATGCTTTAATTGCGCTCACCTTGTTCTCAAAGATGATCTCGGCGAGTATCAGCAGCAGCTCCGCGACGAAGAGCGCCAGGAGGATCCAGAAAAACTGCGCGGGGGAAGAGCGAGGGATTAGCGCGCCGCACTCGGACAGCCCCAGAGCCCAAATCACAGCCTTTCACTACGCTCTCCCCGGCGAGCTGCAACGATCCCGGTCCCACCGCGGGAAAAAGCTTTCTCCCTTTTGGGAAAAGCAGCAGGACGGACGGACGGACGGCAGCAGAGTCGGATTGATGCTACTTCTCTCGCTTCTGCCAAAATGGGCAGTGGCGACAAATTGGGCTGGAAAGCAACGTTGAAACGGTTAAAACTAGAAGGCCTGACGTCCCCGCAGCCGTCACCCGTCGTCCTCCCAACACCCCGCTCCCTGCCCGAGGGCCGGCGTCGGGGGACGACGTCTGGCTTTGCTAAGGACGCGCAGCTGGTTTTGCCCTGCAAACCGTCTCCCCAAGGCTACGTCGCTCGGCGCCCTGGGCGAATCGCCGGAAAAGGCGGGTGGCACGTTCCCAGGCGCAACGAGCTAAAGTCCAAAAAGCGACTTCAAAAAAGGGCAGGTAATTCATGAGCCCGATGTTAATCCTGACCGCTGGTTTACGAGCGCGTCCTGGCTGCAAAGCGGCGCTCAGGGCGAGTGTCCCCAGGACCTGTGCGCCCAGAAAGGAGTTACCAAGCGCGGCGAGACCAAAATACGGCAAAATACCACGGTTTTACTCAGCCGGCCCCGCTCGAGCATGGTGCTGCATGTGTTTGCTAAGAGCCACCCAGCACGACCGCCCCGGAAGGAACAGCCCCGCTTGCCTCGTTACCCAAATGAGATTATAATGGGCTGGGTGCAACTAGGCAGGGAATCCTGTATTTGCAGAAGACAACGAACCAAACCTCCCAGCTGGTGTTTTGCAGCTGGAGATGCTGCCCGGATTCCCGCGCACGTGCGGGAAGCGATGCAAGGAAACCCAAGAGTATATCGGATTTCTAAAAGTCAGCGGGATGCAGCTTGGAAAAGCAAAGCGCCGGAAAAGGCGGGTGGCACGTTCCCAGGCGCAACGAGCTAAAGTCCAAAAAGCGACTTCAAAAAAGGGCAGGTAATTCATGAGCCCGATGTTAATCCTGACCGCTGGTTTACGAGCGCGTCCTGGCTGCAAAGCGGCGCTCAGGGCGAGTGTCCCCAGGACCTGTGCGCCCAGAAAGGAGTTACCAAGCGCGGCGAGACCAAAATACGGCAAAATACCACGGTTTTACTCAGCCGGCCCCGCTCGAGCATGGTGCTGCATGTGTTTGCTAAGAGCCACCCAGCACGACCGCCCCGGAAGGAACAGCCCCGCTTGCCTCGTTACCCAAATGAGATTATAATGGGCTGGGTGCAACTAGGCAGGGAATCCTGTATTTGCAGAAGACAACGAACCAAACCTCCCAGCTGGTGTTTTGCAGCTGGAGATGCTGCCCGGATTCCCGCGCACGTGCGGGAAGCGATGCAAGGAAACCCAAGAGTATATCGGATTTCTAAAAGTCAGCGGGATGCAGCTTGGAAAAGCAAAGCGAGACGCCTCCAAAAGCGCAAACCCTGCAGCTCCTTCCAGAAACTCTGACTTTTAATCCAAGAGGCCCCGTGCGTAGGATGCTCGATGTATTTTTTCTCTATTCTTTCTAAGGTCTTGGCCATTGCACGCTGTGCACCGATTTCTCTGTCGCCCACTATCTCTCTCCGGATCCTCCGTTTCCTTCTTTTGATCCAAATTTCTACTGCGCGGCTTGTCAAGTCACGGATCTAAAACGCAAAATTCCTACAATCCGATTCAGCCTACTCTGTGCGTACTGAAATCAAGCTTGACGTTGCAATCCCAAGGAGCCTCGGCTGGTTGGCAAACAAACGTGGGTCTGTTCTGCATAAATCCGTGGGATTTCCGGACAACGCGCGGCACAACCGCTC